TTTTTTTTTTTTTTTTTTTTTTTTTTTTGTGTTTCTTTTTTCTTTCTCTGTTTTCTTACATGGTTCTGGTGGATTCACATTTGCTGATGCTGGTGCTGTTTTTCGTGTGATCTTCAACGTTTTTGGGTGACCATTGACCCTGTGACCTCAAAATGGTGTCCAACTAACCACTTACAATTAACATCTTTTTTTTATTAACGAATTTATGGTATTATCTTTTTTTTTTTTTTTTGTCTTGGTGGGGGATGGGGTTGGGGTTGTTTTTCTCTATTCTAGATTATCCAGTCAAGAAGATGAAAACTGCAGAGAAGGGATTCGGGTTGGTGGCTTATGCTGCAGATTCATCTGATGAAGAGGAGGAGCACGGGGGTCATAAAAATGCAAGTAGTTTTCCACAGGGCTGGAGTTTGGGGTATCAGTACCCTTCGTCACAACCACGAGCTAAACAGCAGATGCCATTCTGGATGGCCCCGTAGGAAAACAGTGGAACAGAGCTTTGACCCTCGGTGACTCTTTAGCAATAATGCATGCATTTGATTTAATAAGACTCTGGGGCCTGTACTGGGAACCATCATGGACCTTTGCAGAAGTTAGAGATGCAGTGTCCCCTCTCTTAAAGGGGCTTCATTCTTTTTTAAACATCCTTGTTTCTGCAGTGGCATAGTATCTGTTAAAATTTACTTAGAATCACAAATTTGTCTCAGAAGCTTTTTAACAGTTGGTGAAATGTGCTTGTTCAACAGAGCATCCCAACAGGGTCATTCCAGTATACATTTGACCTGTCCAGCCTTTTCCACATGAATGGCCACTATTCTGACAAAAAGAAAGTGTTATTTGTATTTTACTGCTGTTTGGTCAATTTTGCTGACAACTGGTCACAAAGCCTTACTAATTATTAGTGGGGAGTTGATTTTAAGACCATCCTTCCCTTTCAGCACCTTTAAATCTAAGAACAGTTCATCCCTATTTCATTTTTGCATTCTTTTCTGTTCTGGAAAATGCAGTTTTACTAATTTAAAGCTGTTGGATATAGCTGGATCCTGAGTAGGAAAATGAAGGTGATTTTGGTTTTTTTCTTCATTATGTCTTTTTATTGGGATGATGCAAAGCTGGCACCTTCAGGCACTCTTGTCCCAGAAAGCCATTGCAGCTTTTATTGCCCTTCTAATAAGCTCCATGTCTTCAGCTGGGTCCGAGAAAACCGCTTGATCAAAAGCTGGTCAGAACTCATCACAAATGAAACACAGTGGTCTGTCTCTCCGAACTGGTTGCAGCTAAAATATAGAGAGATGTGACTGCTCACAATAGGATGGATGGTGGACTTAGTGACTGAAATTGCAACTTGTCCTTTTCCTTGGCATTACAGGTTTTGCCAAAAGAACTTTTTTGTATCAAATATTGATGTGTGAAAGAAGGCGCTAGTCTGCTGAACCAGGAGTAGTTTGAGATACTGAACTGTCATTTTTGCACATTTGAATACTTTGCAGGCTGGCTTTGTATAATAAACATATTCTCTGGTTTCCTATATGTTGTAAATATTTAGACCATAATTTCATTATAAATAAATGTATAAATATTCTGTTTGTGGTTTCTCTTCTCTTCCATCCACAACCCATCCATACACGCATAACGAAATTAGAACCCACCAGAAAAATAAATACATGGGACCAGAAGTTTGCATATAGTTGATAGAGTTTATGACTGTCCAGAGTAGACCCTTCAAAGTCCCGATGAAAACCTGGAGGGCAATTCTGTTGGGCTCCCTCCATTCCCGTACATTAGGCGTCCTTTACTGAACACGGTTAGTGAGGGAGTGAAATACATTAATTCACAAATTATTCTTGGGAAAGCATTCTTAAAGAGGCTGGGTAGAAGTTGAATCAGCCTTTTCCCAGGGCCAACTCCTCCTAGTACCTGCGTGCCCTCCCCGAAGGGAGGTGAAGGGAGCGGTGGTACCCAGGCGGAAGCTCAGGTGTCTCTAAAATCCTGCATTCCGCAGGGGCAAGTACGTTATTTTACAACCAAAGAGGCCGGCTTTTCCAGTCTCCTTCCTGCGCGTGGAGTCCGGACCTCCCTGCGGTTAGAGCCCTGGTACCGTAGCTGAGTCTGCGCTATTTCGGGGGCGGGGGGGGATTTGGGTTCCCATTTCGCATGTGGATTACACTCGGCCCCGTTCGGTTTTTGTCACAAACGACAGCCAGCCCCAATAGCTACGCTCCGGCGGCCGGGCCCCGCCCCGGCACGGCTCGCGCTTGCGCACACTGGCGAGTCGGGCGCTCCGAGGGGGGCGGGGCCAGGAGAGCGTCACGCGGCCCCGCCCCCGCGCGGTGGCGCCATCTTCCCCGGCCACGGGAGGGGTCACAGGTCAGCGCCGGAACCTCGCGTGCGGCGGGCGGGTGGGCGAGCTGGGGGTCGCCGCGGCGCGGGGGTGGGGGTGGGGGTGGGGGCGGGCACGCGCGGAGGGCCCGGGGGCCTGAGGGGCCGTCTCCTGGGCTCAGCCGGCGCCCTGGTCTGAGGAGGAACCCTAAATTGTTTTGCCGCTTTTGTTTTTCTTCTGGAAACTACAGCACTTGGGAACGCTGTGCGGTGTCGCCGGCCGGACCGCCCGGGGAAAGGTGAGGAGGCGCCGTGTCGGGGGGGGGCGCGCCGGGCCGGTGGCGGGGGCCGGAGGCGGAGCCGCCGGCGGGGGCGGGGGGCGCAGCGCGGGCTGGGGGAG